CGCTTTTTGTGAGCCTTTCCTGAATACCTTTGGAAAAATATCTTGTTAAGCAATTACATTGATATTATTTTAAGCAAAACATCAAGTATCAACCAGGAGCACAATTTTGATATTTTGGATGTTTTTGTCATTTTAGGAACATTCTTGTAATGTCTTGTGTGTGTGTGTGTGTGTGTGTGTGTGTGTGTGTGTGTGTATGTATGTACCTATTCAATCATAAATCAAGAAGGTGGGCAGTTGCCACGAAAAGTCAATAGATCAACTCACCACTTCCTTCACGTAGTCAGTCGATGTCATTTCCTCCCCGGTGTCAGGGTGGACACACTTCGAATAGACATCTCGCAAAAGCCACATGAAGTTTGGAAACACCCTGCGAAGTTCTCCCATGTCTTCAGTCACCTCCTCATTTTCCTTTGCCCGAATTTTACCAGTAACATCAGTAAGGGCTCTAAAAGCAAAACAGTAATTTTCACTTTCTTATATTTTAGAAAACTTGTGCATGTACATAGATACTGCAGACTTGACATTTAATATGGAATCGTTTTCCAAATAATAAGTCATCATTTTTTCTATTTTGCTGACTGATAAATGAAAATAAGAAGATGTTTTAATCGTGTTTTAATAAATTCTGATAATATCTGTGATGTAATTGTGAGATCAGTTGATTGATTGAATTCGCCAGTAAGGTAAACAAAAATACATTGCCAATTCTTAGCCATACGACAACCATAGAAAGTGATATGTTGGAACTCCATATTTTTAAAATAATTGTCTTTAAAAGAATAACACGCTCCACAAAGAACCCTAATGTTAGTACATGTATCTACGTAGGCACAGTAACGGTCGCTGTTACGTCTGCCCTCATCTGGCTTCTAACAGAGCTTTCAAGCGGCAAGGCATTCCTTGGGGCATGTTTTAAGGGATGAATCTGTAATAAAATTCCAGGCAAAGGCCAATACTTATCCAATGTGATTCAGTTTTGTTGTAGGACATGCAGGCCGTTGATCCAGCGAGTAATGGCCTATCCATATATTGTCTATGTGATTAAATTGGCGAATTTGATGATCAAGGTAGCTGCTGATTCCCTTGGTTCTGTAAGTTGTCTGCTATTAAAAGTGCTATGTGTGAAGCGGCAATCTCATTGTGCAGCCTAAAATTGTTCCTAAGGTGCCCATATCAAATAATAGTCAAGTGGTTCCCAGATTATTCCTCTATTCGATCTGCTTCAGGTTTTCATCGATGCCTACCGTTGGTTTTTTGGCACCAATGTGGTATCCACTCCAAAAAATGACGCTGTCAGTGACCCTAGACACTTTAGAGGTGGCACTTGCTTCGTCATAGGCCTCTTCAGGATGTCTGTAAACAGGTGAAATCTGACCTCAATAAAGAAAGTCACGTGGTTTCAGTGTTCTGCCCAGAAACGAAATTCATTAGAGAAACAGACGACGCTGACCATCTGTGCTGTTTACAGTGGCTTCCTCGCAGGTCATCTGGTACATGTATCCTAACCTGCTGAAACCAGTTTGGTGTTCGCTTAGAGACTTGAAAAGCGCGTTTTGGTGACAATTTGCCCCTCGTTCTGAACGGACTGGGTGGTTTTTGTTTAGTTGCAGCAGAATATCCGGAAGGACAGTGAGTCTTGTATCCTGGTAGTAAGATTTCGATACATTGGGCGTCGCCTCTGTGTAGGTACATCTGTCTGGGCATAACTTCATAAAACTGCACGGACCATTCCATGTGACACAATAATCTGCCTGGCAATATCCGTGAGGACGCAAGCGTAACTTGCTCCCCTCGCACGGAGTTAGCAAGAGAGACGCGCGTTGTGCAAGACGCACGTCGCAAGCAATGAAGGAGGATATTTCACTGAGGATAATTTTCTTTTAATTCAAGTACATCTTTGTAAATCTACCACAGTAATGTCACAATATTTCCCTTTATCGTCCGAAAATTTGAGGGGAATATTTTATTTACTTTTTGAGTTACAGTCGGTTTACTGTTGATTAGTCAGACTGGCAATTTATTTCACCTGGTCGTTGCACTGCGCAGGGAGATAGGGTGTTCTAATTACAAGCTGACACCTAAATTACTCGAATAACTAAACTAATCTATATATTCATGGAAAGCCGGTACTTTTACGCACCTTTCCAATACTGTCACAAAAAGGTCTCGTTTTCTTATGAACGATACGGGATGATATAAACAGGTATATATATATATATATATATATATATATATATATACAGCTAGGCTTTTTAATCTGTTCTCACTACCGTGATCGTGTCTACGGACACGGTTACTCTTCACCGTGACCAAGCCTACCGCCCACTTTTTGAACAATGGAAGTAGGAGGATCGTTTAACAATGGATATTTAGCCAGTCGCGTGGCAGCAGAGTGTGTCCCGATCTCTCAACCTGGCAGGGGGCGACCGTCTTATTCAGGAAGCGTGTGCATTTAGGCGTGATGGCATTAATAGCCGCTAATTGCTGTCCGGTAAATATTGCACCGCTTCTTATTACTTCAAAAATCAAAGCATCTACTTACTGTACTTCGTCAGTTAAACGGGAATATATAAAGCGGGTTTAGCAGAAAATACAATTTGGGCCCCAACCATTACTTTCCCCCCGTCTACCGTCGTTAACTTTGACGTGTCGACACTAACGACCCCACCATCATCGCACTCTACCACTCCATATCTGTCTGCAAATAATAGTATTTGGCAACATTACACTCAGTCTACAAGTCAATAAAAATAACAAAAAATAAATAAATACGTTGTACATTATCATTATTTCAGGACGCGTTTATAAGCCTTGGTTAATTTATGAAAATGTCTTTTTTTCTAGTTGAATGATATTAAAAAATTTACTATGAAGAGCATCGCCACTACAGAGATTAGGAAGTAAACTCTTCATGACACTAAGATGGGTGCAAATGTGTACCCTCTCCAGCACTGTCAAAGGTCCACAAACAAATATACACACATTTGTCAAGACGACAAGATAGATTTCACTACGATGTATCAAGTGTAATAATTGTTAAATATATATTCTAAATTAAATGTTGCTTACTTATAATTGCATTAAGAAAAAATCAGTATATCAATTAATTTAGTTTAAATAAAATCATCTGCAACAGAGGCTAAAAGCTGTGCACCTGGGACTAAGGGACTGCCTAAGCTTAAACATATTGAAGACGAAGACAACTTCCTTTCTTTTCCGAGGGAACAATAACGGGGGCGAAAGGAGCAATTACAACGTGCAAACATGCATCAGATAAGAAGCCCTACAATGTAGTTGCGATTTTATCTGCAATGGTGGTCACAAGCTGGTCTCATCCTTCAATGCGATGGAGTTTGATACACCACACATGTAAACATTCATATTAAGAAAAAATCGAAAAACATTTGTACAACTGGTCTGTGGGACAGTCATTTACTTGTATTGAAACTTAAAAAGCATCAAAAAAGGGACCCACTTGTTCAGTTGATATTTGAAGAATGACGCCGAAATATTTTCCTGTTCCTGCAGCGTACATTAACTGTACTTGTGTATACATGTAATTACGTACGTATTTATTCTCCTCTCGAAACATATCGCGCACAATTCTCGACAACTATCATCGTTATATGAGGAATGTTGAGGACATTTTGAAAAACAGGCAGTCTTAAAACAACTTTATCACTATTCTAAATATTTAAATACAAATGCATTTATAAGGGCAAATACTGTATATCATTTTGCTTGCTTATAGCCCGNCCTGTACGTACGTATTTATTCTCCTCTCGAAACATATCGCGCACAATTCTCTCGACAACTATCATCGTTATATGAGGAATGTTGAGGACATTTTGAAAAACAGGCAGTTTTAAAACAACTTTATCACTATTCTAAATATTTAAATACAAATGCATTTATAAGGGCAAATACTGTATATCATTTTGCTTGCTTATAGCCCGCATTTCTGAAGAAATGCAGTAAGTCACACTTTACAAAGGTTGAAATGGTGTCGCCGACATAAAACAACCACACTTGGCAATCAATGTTATGCTGGAGTTTTGTTAAGTGATGTCAGGCATAGACCTGAAAAGGTTAATTTGATCTACATTAGTGCGTTAAACATCGAAACGAGGTAATTTCTGGTAGTGCGTCTCCGTCGATAATTAATATACCGGTATGATAGAAGAAAGAGTCTTGACAATTTCCCTCAAAGTTATCTCTTCATTGTGTCCAGACGGGAGATGTGTATTTGCTATACAGTACTAAGCAACGTTCGTACATAAACGTTTATCTAAATACATCTGTCAGGACGTCAAGATAGATTTCACTTAGATGTTTCAAGTATAATTTCATATTTACTCCAAATGTGGCCTAATTAAAAGTCCATAAAGAAAAACAGCATATCAATTAATTTATTTTAAGTTAAATCATCTGCAACAGAAGCGAAAAGCTGTGCACCTCGGACTAAGGGACTGCCTTTATTGGACTAAACTCAAACAACTTCCTTTCTTTTCATACAGAACAATAAAGGAGGTGAAAGCGGCAATTGCAGTGTATATACGTGCATTGTACAGTGCTAATACAAGGTTTCTGTGTTTTCATTGTGCTCCTATTTTGTGCTTTCAGAATTTAGAAAGTGTGTATCTGTTGACTGAAAGCGAGAGTGTATGGTAGGGGGATTTTACTTCCAATTTTCGAAATAGCCCCTGCTTTGTTAGATACCATTGTGCATTAGTTAACTTAGGTATTAAAAGTGAATTTTGTTGTAAATACATGTACGGGCTGTTTATATGGTCTAAAGACGGTGTCAGTATCTGTCTGGATATCAGCTCTACCTTTTCTGTGCCGGTAACTTGTAATGTTGTTGGTGTGTGGTAATTTATTTCGTCATAGCTGCTGACAAACCAGTAATGTGTCCACGCCCTAGCTATGGAACAAGAAAATGGTAAAGACTTCCAAATTGTATTTAAACACTAACACCAACGATAACACGCTAACAATAGGGCTTTGGCGTTTTCAGACACGTAACCTCACGTTGACGGTACATATATCCTCAGTTTGTGATGACACCACGTATCTCGTTCGCCATACTTGCTGTCCATTTTTACCTCCAACGCAAGGCAGATGCCGTTATACAGAATAGGGTAAGTATAGAATAGTGTAAGTGCAGCAAAATAGGTGCACTTGCGAATGACTACATATTTCTTCTGCAATTTACGAGAATAAATTTATGAGAATAAATTTTGTACATATACTCTCAGGATGGGAGTATATCACTCCACCCAGTCTCATTGTGCGAATGCACACATGCTGTCAGTTTTCCTCAACACGATAGAAATATGCAGGTTAGGGTAAGTGTAGAATAATCTAACCACAGTACTTGCGTGCAATTGCATATATTTACAAACAACCTACTTAAAAACTCAAACTGAGTAGGCAAATTCATCAGGCCCAGGGAAATGGTGGAAAGGTGACTGTCAATAACAAAAAGTGCCCAGTGAAATGCATTTTATTCTTTTCTAGCGATATTTAATCACCTCACTAATTTCAATCCTACTCATACTCATTATCGTAAAAAATGGAATTATTAAATATATTTTCCAAAATGTTAAATAGTAATTCGTTTATACAAGTGTATTTTCTCCCAACAGGATAATTTTTGAAAAGATGTTCAGTAAGCTGCCCAACTCCTTACAGGGTACCATGCAACCAGAAGCACCACCCTGGTATGTTGCAAAAAAATCTTTCTGAATAGTTTTTTTATAGTTTGAAAAGCATTTTTATTTCCAAACATTGTATAACTACATAGAAACTGATACAATGTATCACCTTTCATTAGATATTATATATAAAAATTGATAATGAAACATGATACAAATACAAATTAATTTGTTGATAGTGATTTGTAAATTTTGCTGCTTCAGGTGCCTCGGATCTCACCGTTGGTTGAACAAATGCTGGGAAAGCATCCAGCATTTGATCACGCAGCAACTAGAAAACTTCACAAGGACACGTAAAAAAGTACATATATATATTTGTATATATTTATTTCAACATTTCAAGGTTTTTCTCCAGATTAGAAAGTACCAATTATTTATTAGATATAGGAGCATTAACAGCTGTAACTGCTACATAACAGCAACAACAACAACAGCAACAATAACAACAACAATAATAATAATAGCAAATGATTTTTACCGTTGATATGCATACAAAGTAGTCGTCTTTATATGGAATATTTTGGTGTCTACTTTTTTCAGTCACTAGTCTGTGATTAGAACATCGGAATTTTGAGATATCAGATGCAAAGTCTCAGCGTTAAAAACTTCTCAAGCTGATGTCTTTTTTATGGTGACAATAACGAGATATAGAGCTTTCAATCATTTATTCACCGACTCCCCTTTCACATAAATTCACAAGCATTTATATTCTATTTATCCGTACTGATCAGGCATTTACTTGTTTTCTTTCCATTGCCACTGCGTAATTACAAGAAATTTCCCATTCTCATGCTGCAAAGTGTAAGGAAATGCCTTACACTTTCATTTGCAAGTAATAATCAAAGAGGAAGCAAATGAGTAAAAGGATAGGAAGTTATTGCATGCATTGCTAGCAATGAAAGTCCTAGGGCATAGACTCGCCCTTCAAGAAATCGACGCCTTCAAGAAATCGACGAAAACCGGAAGTGCGTGTTTTTTGCACTGTTTTTCCTGTCATGCCCATCGTAAACACTGTGTTGTCAAGTAAAATCATAGAAGTAGAGAAAAATGAAGCGTCTGATACAAAGTATCCAACGCGGCATTCACGTGCTTGCTTGCGATGCGTTCAGTACACTTTGTTTACACTGACAAGTCGAGGTCAGAAATGCACAATGTTTTTCTATGTAATTACGTAGTTTCAGTTTTGATTAGTGAATTTTCTTTTATCAGCATGGTCATTTTCCGAACATTTGTATAAGCCACGAAATATTTCTCACCCAGCAGCTTTCCAAGTACAAGCGAGTGACGTCATGACGCACTTCCGGTTTTCGTCGAGATCTTGAAGGGATTAGCGTTACGGTTTGCTGCACATTTAAAGTGTTCTGTCTCAAAATATACCCAACTGCTTGAATTGAAATTTACGGAACTTATTCTTCACATGATATCACACCTATGTGCCTAATTTGAGAGCTTTAGCTGTTATATATTTTCTACAGTGCCCATTCAAATTTGAAAAAGAGCTATTTTCCGTCGATTTCTTGAAGGGCAAGTCTACGTAACTAGGATTCAATGTCCGTGGGACGAAGGCTCCTAAGTAACGCATGTACTACGTGAAGTAACGCACGCCCTAATGGGACGTTTAGTCCTTACATTTTAGTAACGCATGTCCTATATATAGTTTACACCGAGAAATGACATTAATAAATACATATAGAGATATACTAGATTTAAGATATAATAAACGCTTGCTTTATTTCACTTTATTTCAATATATTCGATGTTTTTACTTTCTGATAGGCAGTTTATATACATATTTTAAATGAAAAAAAAAAAAAAAAAAACGGTTCCCATTGTTTTTTCTTCATTAATCTTATTTTTCTTGTAGTAAACGCATATTTTTGCATGTGTCATTGACCTTCTAAGGCCTTCAAATGAGGGAAAATCGCTTTACATAATTTATTACAGCAGAAAACCAAACGGCCAAAGTAAAAATATCAGTACATTTTGAGATAATACTTTCCAATAATAATAATATATTCCAATGATCAGAAAGAAAATGTGTTAAATATTTATTTTAATTTTAAGGCCACATTTTTAAAAATTATTTTAATTGGTGACATTCTGCGCGCGCACCGATTTTCGTCCGTTCTCTGAAAAAAAATCACCCCCAACGAAGTCGGTTGTCACAAACGTCGTTATTGAATTACCGGAAAAGTAAAGAGGATAGCGTGGCAAGCGTCGAAGCTTGACACAGTCAGTACTTCTGTACCAGTTTGAACCCTTTCAGTCAGACTCGTGAAGACCAGAGAGAAGGCTGTGACACTCTACAATTTCTAGATTTAACTTCCTTAGAGTTGTAAGTAATGTAATATTATAATTATTATACAACATACTTCAGGTATAGAAGCTAAATTGTCACATTATGAGTAAGCTAAGTAATGCAAATAATTTATTTATTATAGAAAGGTGTTGTTTTGGGCACTCAGGGTTTGGTCACAGCTATCTAAAGCGCATACTTCCAGCACATGCAGCAGTAGGGTGGAATTAATATTTTACAGCAAATCAGGCAGAGTAAGAATAATCAATCAGTTACTCTAACAATACGGTCATCAGCACAATTTTGAAATTTTATAAATCTATGTCCTTTATTTTATTTTCATTTACTGTCATTTATTGTCATAAACCTTTGCATTATATTCTTTCAGAAAATATATTTACAGTGTTTTATTTGCTTGTGCAGTGAAAAAGATAAGAAGCAGGTTTACAAATTGCCTGAGATTATCTTTTGTTCTATTATTGTACATGAAGACTGAAGTGACGTAGAGTTGATCTTATATAAAGAAATGATTAATCATCAAATACAATATCATTGCACATTTATCACAAGTGTCAAATAATTTTTTTCTAAAATGTTGTCTAGCTTTTCCAGTATATTAATTCGAAGCCTACATCAAAGCACTGATAAATCAGTTTTTTCACGCTACATTAAATGATAAGAAAAAAAGTAACCTGACATTGAATTTATATGTTTACTGTACACTATATTATATACATATTCCACTGGCATGTTTATTGCACAATGGTTTCAGACTACATGGAATTTGAATTTAGATATGATCTCGGTTTTTCACATACTATAAATGCATATGAAATACTCATTTCTTGTAAAATGTTTTCATGCTTTGCTAACATATATTGAAGTGTCTATCAAAATTAATTATGAACATAATTTCTCCATTTTGTTCCCTGTGGAACCTATAACATTTTGGTTCAACGTCAAATATACAGTGAATGCTAACATACCTAGTGCTGTCCTGATTACATACAAGGCTTGTAATCAAAGCTCGCAATTGAAAGTTGCTTCAATTGTTAAATCGAGACGTAGTCTGTCAAAGAGGGTGGGGCTATTCCTACAAGAGATTTGTCACTGGATTGGTCTTCAACAGTGTTGACTAGACACTCCAACAGTTGGTGGACATAACCGAAAAATATTTTAAAGTAATTAAAATATAAGCGTAACTGTTATAATGAACTTAATTATTGACAGCACAACCACGTTTATGAGTAACTTTTAAAAGCAGCATTAGTGAGGAATGCAAACTATATACACTTATAGTGAAGTTCCAAAGTATTTTTAACCCATGTAATTTTAAAAAGAGTATCCAAATGTCTTAGATTGAAGAGAATTTTCAGGATCACCCAAATTTAACAAAAGCCGCAGTGTAACAATGTGGAATGATATGTGGATGTGCCCACATCTTACACATTGATCATAATTTGACTTACTGCAGGGTTACACAGACAAGGGAAATCTGCATTTTTTTCATAGCTCAGTAGGTGCGCCTACCACATGATATATATATATATATATATATATATATATATATATATATATATATATATATATATATATATATATATTAACACCTTTAAACTTTTTCAGATTTAGCACACAAATATCACTTACCTTACACACAGATCTCTTCCTAAAAGCAGTCCTACTAGTAGGCCTACTGGTATTTTTTTCTCTCCAGCCTCAACTGAATGAGTTAATGATAATTCAGCTGCAATATGCAGGTTAATGGTCGGAACTGCGTCTGGTAGTAAAGTTTAACATTTTATTTCTTCTTCTTTCCCCATATTTTTCAATTGTCAGAACTTCAGCGGGTACCACGAAGTCACAAAAAGTTTCTCACATAGCACCATCCTCTTCAACGGCCGGTCAAAATCTTTACGTGCCACGCGAACAAAATTGATCCATTTCCTTCTCAATTCCTGATTTCGATGGAATGAAACTTCGCCAATAGACCTCCTGGTGTGTCCGTACGCCACAAAATAGCGTCCTTTGCCTCTCTTCAACATGATTCACTTAGAATGATGAGAAATACAACCCACTTCAAGCTTCTAATTTATTCAGCAACATGGCGGTGAAACGGGTGTACCAAATACATTGCGTCATTTCCGTTTTAGCAAGTTTGATCCAGTCGCGTTCAGGTAACTTGTTTGGCATTATCGTCACCGCTATTTCCGGTGTAACAGTAATCCAAGTCCCCCAGGTCCGTAGGACTAACATTTCTTGGGGATAGAAGTCCTAAGGGCTCATAATAAGAGTAGGTAGGACTTGTATTACTGTCAGAGTTTTATTCCTGTTACACCATGACAGTAATTTAAGTCCGGCCATTTGAAAGTCCTACCCTTAGGCAATAATACTGTTAAATGATAAAACTATAAATGTATATAAAATCCTTCTGGTGAGCCATATATCAGACAAAAAATGAGAGGTTGGCAACTTCAGCTCGTCTGTGTAGTGGTTAGCGTGCAATTCCGTAAGCTAAAAATTCTTGCATCGTTCTGTTAAATCTATGGGTTCGAGATCTACCTTTGACAAGACCTTACCACCCTTCCCCCTATTTATTATTTGTCACGCACACTGTCACGCACAGATCTCAAGTCACACACAAGTTTAGATTATACCTGAAGCTGTAGTCCATTAATAATATGGCCCTTGCCGTTATGTTTTTAACTGCATTGTTTATGGAGGAATACAAAATAATAATAATAATAATAATAATAATAATAATAATTATTATTATTATTATTATTATTATTATTATTATTATTATTATTATTATGTTTTTCTGCTTTGATAACATGTCGTAAAGAGCCGGGCCCAAACAATGGTCCTGAGGCGCTAGAGGGTAGTTGTTCCTTTCTACTTCATTGATAGCACCCTCCGTAGTATATGTGTTGTGCCGAGCAGGACTATCTTCTGGACTTCGTGGATGTTGATGTTTCCAGGGATTTTGTCGGTGTATTTCTCTAATCCCTCCTTCACAAGTCCCAGAGCTCCAGTGACCACAGGCATTGTTATGGTCTTTGTTCCCCACATTCTGTTGATCTCGATCTCCAGGTCCTTGTACTTTGACAGTTTTTCTGTGACTTTGACAGAGGTGTTGCGTTCTGATGGTATTGGCATGTCTATAAGAGTGCATTCCTTGTTTTTCTTGTTCTTGATGACGATATCTGGTCTATTCGCTTTGATCTCTCTGTCGGTTTGTATGGGCATGTCCCATAGGATGGTGATCTCATTGTTCTCAGTGACTGTGTTGGGCTGATGTTCATACCATTTGTCAGCCGTCTTGATCTTGTATTCCCTGCAGATCTTCCAATGCAGGTAGATTGCTGCTTTGTTATGTCGGTGAATGTACTCTGTCTTTGCCAGATTTGGGCATCCTGAGATGATGTGGTCAATGGTCTCTTCATATCTTCCACAGATCCTACATTGTGGGTCAGTTCCATCTTTGATGATGTGATGGTGGTAGGCTCTAGTGGCCAGACTCTGGTCTTGTGCAGCAATGATCAGGCCTTCTGTCTCATCTTTTAGTCCGTTTGTCTTAAGCCATTTGTTGGTCTTTTCTTTTTCTACATCTGCCTCTTTGGTCTTTCTTGGGTACTTTCCATGTATTGGCTATTATTATTATTATTATTATTATTATTATTATTATTATTTGGTCTCACGGAGTGTTGTATAACATTTTGAGAATTATGTGCAGGTGTGGAAAACTCGGGCACTACAGGCATAAGCAAAAATGCCTGTGGTCGTAGATATTAACATATACTTGATCAGTTGGGTGTGAAATATACAGGTAAAACGGACAAAAGAACGTAGCTGTGAACTTAAGAACATCACCAAGAAAAGTGATGTGATATTTCAAGTGTGGACACAGCTTGTTTTGAAGAAATGTTTTTGATCTCAGTTATTTATTTTTTTCCAACTCAGGATAAGAGAAAAAGTACAGACAGGCTCTTTAATGAACTCATTCTAAAACATGTCCAGATAAAAACACAATGAGTTAAATGTTTTTAAATATCACTAATTAGATAGCTGGTCTGCTGATGAGTCATGTTTACACTTACGAGCCCAAGCATTTTACAAAACTGTTGTACACGAGCTATCATTAAAATAATAAAATGATTTTCGATTTTTAGTGATAATATGGCACATATACCGAGCCTTTTGTTCTCCGTCACTAATAACTTACAACTGGCTCAACCAATGAGTAGAGTTCAGAATATAAAATTTGTAATATAAAAATTAAAATGTTTGTCAAAGTACATACAGGACAGGACCCTTACATTCAATCTTACGTTAGCAAGATTGCAATATTAATCTTGCCCAGGCAGATTTGAAATATGCTTGGATTTCAATCTTGCTTGTGACAAATGCATACAATATATGTTTAACATATTTCAAGAGTACCAAAACATTTTCAATCTATTCACATGCTTGAAAACTAACCAGATCTTCCCGACGCTATGGTCGAACGATCAACACAAGAAAAAAAAACTGTCACATGATTTTGATTTTTGTTACACGTGTTTGTACAAATAATAAATAAATAAATAAATAACACCAGGAACTTGTATTTTGGCCGGATTGATTGCACCTTTTGAAGACCATTTCTTTTGTGAGGTTCAATGTGTCTTTTTACAGTTATGATTATATCTGCAATTTGTTTGTGTTCCCAGGCTGTTTTGGTGATAGATAGCATGCAGAAACTAATATACGATTGTACATCAAAGCTTGAGAAGGTGAAACGCCTTGAGAAGGATCTGGAGCAAATACTTAGCAGGTAAATTTGCCAATTTTGATGTTGTATTAAGTAATGTTTAACAGCAAAATCGACGTAAAATTTTAATTATTCACAACAGATAACACGAACATTAAGAATGACTTCACTTTTTGCTAAACATAAAAACTAATTGCAAAACAACTAGAAAGCCCTGTAACTAAGAGTGGCATAAATAACAGACCACTAAGAAAACATATAGTAGTAGTATATAAGGAGTTCTACAGGCCCCAAAATCGAGGGATAGCATATGAAACAAGCATGTTTCAAATATGCTAATTAGTTCTCAAATCGAAGCAGATTTGAAGCATGCTTGCAGTATGATTGCAATAGTCTACTGCGCTGGAGTATCTACTGCGTTTTCTTGCGGGTAGACAGCATATTTCTGTCCTCAGAATCACTAGCGAGAGGAGTTACAGCGTATCCTTTAAGTTTTCCAGCCTAAAACTGAGGTGTCTGAAATTCTGATGGGCTTGTCTCCATTAAAAGTACATGTGACAATAAATGCTGATTTTCTTTCTCCTGAAGTCAATTTGTAGACGATTTCTCGTATCTTCCACTATCTTCCAAGATAAATTTTGGTCAACTCTCATTTGTTTGCTTATAATTTACCTTTGGCATTGTTAAAAATTGAAAGCCTACCAGCAAAAAAAAAAAAAAAAAAAGAAAAAAAAAAAATCGCAGTAGATACTCCAGCGCAGTAGACTACTGCAATCATACTGCAAACGATAGTAGACTACTGCAATCATACTGCAAACATGCTTCAAATCTGCTTCGATTTGGGAGCTAATTAGCATATTTGAAACATGCTTCTATCATGCTGCTAATCCACTGCATTAATGCTCCTCTCTGTACAAACCTATGTACTTTTTGGAGTAGAATTGCAGTAGGCTATGCTCCATTTCTACTGCAAATATGATCCACACCACTACTGCGTTAATGTTTTTTTGCTACTTCGATACTATTGCATTTTCGTGCGGGTATCGTCTACACATTTTATCGCTTTCTTCTGAAATTCTAATTTATTCATTACAACAGCCAAAATAAAACTTTCACCGGTAGTACTTCTACTAGACTTATTGTCCATAACGTCTTAACAGTTGACATCATAAGGGTACTGTTAGCACCGTTTCAATCGCCTGAGTGACACAAGAACTCATTGAGAAATTAATTTCACTCTTATTCTTCCACAGATCGGCCTCAGGGTACAGAACATTCTGGTAAATACCAGGGATAAAACAGAAATTGAGAAATATACTGGTGTATTAATATTAGCCAAAAAGGAAAATGATTATGTACTAGAATGGCAAGAATTACTCGCACATTTTAGCTTGGGTCGACACACTCCCCTTGAAAGCTTTTGGCTACCTCTTTGCATCTTCAGTCGCAAGGAGGTTGCCATAGGTTTTAAAGCGGTGGCATAATGTTTCTAACAGGTCTCCAGCGATCGCAGACACACGAAGGTCATTTTTGTGCTCTGAAAACCAGTGCCGAAAAAGATGGAAAATATCAGTATCCTAAAGGTGGCCTATCAAACATTCTTGGTTGCCAGTAAGTCGCTATAACGATAAGCATACCACTTGCAACTACAGTGTCGATTGTTGGCATTAAGCCATCTGGTCGCTTTAGCTTCTTATCAGCCGCAAATAGTCGGCAACAGGTCGCTAGAAGATTGCATTTAGTCGCTTTGTAGTTAACCGGTTTCTTACCGGTCGCATGCATTTGAAAATATGTTGCTGGAAGGTTGCAAGCGACTGCAATAAAATAAGCGTAGGATGTTGGTCTGTTTGGGAAAAGACATTTTTATAATTTGTCAAGTATGCCTTTTAAATACCATGATCAAAAAACATAATATTTTAGAAAAATAAAACATAAATTGCATGCGTTGGCAAGATTGAACACTAGATGTCAAGGTTTATATACGCAACGTATTTTAAACGTATGAATCAAAAAAAAAAATAATAATAATATAAGAGACCAAGTATTTAAACAAGAAAATATTAAGGGGTAATATAAGATAAATAAGGATTAAAATACATTCAAATTTGTTTTTTTTTTTATTATTATTATTATTACAGCGACGATGTAGTCTGTTTAAAAGCTCGTTAAACATTGCTGGTTCTTTTCTTAGGAAGAAAATGAAGTATTCCTGATTTTCAAGCTCAAGTTCTTTCATCATATGTTCGTAATCGTTACAGAAGGGACGTCTTGCAATCCAGCATTTTCGAGTTTACTTACTTATTTATTTTTCTTCCCAGGTAAGCAAAGCCAATGATAATAGCAGTCACCACGTTCGCATCTTTTTGAAAAGAGGCTATTTAATTATACATTTTTGTCTTCCGAGAGGGGAATTTATGAGAAAGCAGCTGCCGTCACAAGTTTGCAATATATATATATATATATATTTTGTACGACCTTATTGCTACCGGGGGTAGCAGTTGGCAAGCAAACGCTGCAGTTCTGCAACCGCTTTTCTATCACCAAGCGGTTGTAGATAGATTGTTCAGCGCTTGGCCAACGGTGTGCGATTGGTTACCTATAATCTATAGAAGATGGTCTATAAGAGGTTGCAGACACCATACTGCAACCTTCTTGCAACCGGTTTGCGACTGCTGGCCGACCAGAATATCCCAAAGCTTCTTAAGTAGCTCGCAAAGTGATATCAAGCGTCCACCAGATTCTGTAGTTGCAAAAAGGTTGCAAGCGCAGTGTAACCCAGGCTAAACATTGGAAGTGATTAATGCCCTTCTAGTATGTGACGCCAGAAAATAGGCAAAACTTCTTTATTTTGTAAAAAAAAACTGGAAAGAAAATAATAATAATAATAATAATAATAATAATAATAATAATAATAATTTATTTTTCTATGGCGCATTCCATTAAAAATCTCAACATTTACTTAAAAGAGCTAACTAACACAATATTAGTATAAGAACACATTACAAATTTAAAGGACTAAGAACTAATTTAAAGAACCAATTATTTCATATTCTAAAATGATAAGAAACTAAAGTGACAACATTTAAAATTAATCATAAAATTACAGTACACCTTATTAAAAACTAAGATTAACTATATAATAGTTACTGATAGGCTATTCTAAAAATATGAGTTTTCAAAAGCTTTTTAAAAGTATCTATGTCACCTGCTTCTCGTATTTCAGAGGGTAAGGTGTTCCAAACTTTGGGTGCATATATCATAAATGCCCTTTCACCGTAAAATTTACCAGCTTTTTTCTCTAAGACACTGTGTTCTAAAAGTAAATGACTAAAAGTTGAAGACCTGGTAACTCTTCCATGATGATGTTGCTTCATAAGTTCTGAGATATAAAGTGGTTTATTCTCAGTGACTGCTTTAAAAATGACACATAAAATTTTAAATAAAATTCTCTCTCTTACTGGAAGCCAGTGAAGTTCCATCAAAACAGGTGTTATATGCTCTCGGCTGTTCCATCCCATTTTAGTTACCAGCCTAGCTGCAGAATTTTGAATTAATTGAAGTTTGTTCCGATGATTTTTGCCTAAACCATATAAGAGACTGTTGCAATAATCAAGCTTAGAAGTAATCAAAGCATGGACTAGTTTTTCAGTTGAAGTTTTGTCCAGTAAGTCTCGTATCTTACTAATTCGCCAAAGTGAGTATGATGCTGATTTGCAAATTTCAGAGATCCGTCTATCCATAGTTACATATTGATCAAAGGTGACACCTAAATCTTTCACATAGCTAGATGGATTGATGTTGACACCACCGATACAAATATCAGATTTCATTGCATTTCCACTGTCTGACTTAGACCTAGATGTAAACCATATTAGTTCAGTTTTTCCATCATTTAGTGCTAGCATGTTTGTTTTCATCCAATTCCGGATCTCAACTAGACAGGTTTCTATTGAAGTGATAGCCATGGAGCGATTACTTTCACTTGTGACATAAATTTGAGTGTCATCAGCAAAAATGACAGTGTTGAGACCATGTGTAACTATAATGTCTTCTATTGGTAGCATATACAATGAGAAGAGCAATGGACCTAGCACAGACCCCTGAGGGACACCATACTCTAAAGTAGTGGGCTCTGATAGCAACGACTCAATTGACACCTTTTGTGTTCGATCTTTTAGATATGAGGTTAACCAATTAAGTACTAAATCATTTACTCCAAATCGGTACTGTAGTCTGTGCAGAAGTATGTTGTGGTCAATGGTGTCGAATGCAGCAGACAGATCTAAAAGGACTAAAATAACATCTTTTTGTTTGTCTAAGGAAAGCATGATGTCATTATGAACCCTTAGGAGAGCTGTTTCTGTGCTATGTCCTTCTCTATAAGCTGATTGAAACTTGCCATATAGACTATTATGAGCTAGATAGTTATTCAGTTGTATACATGCCATTTTCTCAAGAAACTTCCCTAAGAAGGGCAAGTTTGATATCGGTCGATAATTTTTAAACACTTGTTTGCAAAGGCCTTGTTTTTTAACAAGGGTCTAACAATTGCTGTTTTGCAGTTAGATGGGAAGATGCCTGTTTTAAAAGAGAGATTCACTATCTTTAAAATAACTGGGGCCAGAACAGTAATGCACTCTTTGATAATATGTGTTGGCACAGGATCTAAGGCAGAAGATTTAGAATTCATGCTTTTCATTAATGCTAAAACATCTTCTTCTGATACAGGTGAAAATTCAGTCAATACTGCATGAGTACAGGTAACTGGGGTTTCTGAGATTTCTACAGAAGAATAAGAAATAAGATCATTTCGAATGCTCTTGATCTTATCTGTAAAGTAGTTTGAAAAAAGTTGAGGGAGCTCTGAAATTTCCATGTCTGGGAGGACATTCAGTTGAGATGATTTTGATTCCGATATTTGGTCCACGATCTCGAAAAGTGTTTTCTGATCAGCAGATTCAATACGGGAACGATGATATTCTTTCTTGTGTGCCACAAGAAGAGAGTGATAGTGAGATCGCGCAGATATGAACAATTGCCGATGAATTTCTAAGTGAGAGTGACCCTATTTCCTTTCCAGTTTCCTGACATGTTTCCTTTCTTCACACAGCTCCGGTGTAAACCACTCAGCCCGCGTTTTCTCAATTTTTGTTTTAGGTAGAACAGGTGCAACCTCATCCATAACATTAGATATAGATGTGTTGTAGTAGTCTGCTAAGATACATGGGTCCGTGATCTGGTCGGTATTTTCAAAAACACATTTCAGGTTATCAATAAGTATTGCTGGATCAAGTCTTGATAAGTCCCTACGATGGGTCACTTTTTTGATAGGCGGTGGACGAATAAAGTCAGCTACAAAGTGAACGGCGGCGTGGTCCGATGGGAGGCTGTTGTCGATGGTAAAACTCCGCAAGCATGAATCGGCGCGAGTAAGAACCAGATCTAAAATATGACCTTTTGAGTGGGTGGCTGTATTTATATGCTGAGTGAGTCCCATTGATTTAATCAGATCCTTGAATTTGCGGACATCATTGCAACTATGGTTGTCCATGTGGATATTGAAGTCTCCAGCTATTATTAAGTAACCTGGTGAGAAAAGTGTATATTCCAGTAGCCTAGAGAATTCTTCTAGAAAGTCGAGGATGGTATATTTATGTTTCGTAGAGTATGGTGGGCGATATATTAGAACCAAATGCAATGTATCTTTCCGAGTTGTAATATTTACATCAAGAGATTCAAAAGACTTGAATCCCAGGCACTTGTTTTTGACTACTTTCAAGTTGGATCGCGCCAAAATAGCAATACCACCACCCTTCCCATGATTCCTGGGTGAGTGTTGAATACTATAGCCATTTAAAGAGGAATTTAAGTCTACATCAAAAAAGTTGCAGTTTCTATCATTGATCCATGTTTCTGTTATCATGAAAATGTCGGTCTTGCGTTGTTCTACAGAATCATATAGGTGGGGCACTTTGTCAACCACAGATCTAGCATTCCACAAAGTGATGTTGATGTTGTACTTCTGGTGTTAGGATGACAAAAATAAATAGACTAATTACACTAACAGCAAACAGCATAAACTACATACTAACAATTTAAAAATAAAAACAATCCAAGTGGAACGAACAGCAAAGAACTGTATAGGTAGGAACAAACAGCTACGGACCTTTCATTTTATAGCCATTTTGTGAAATTACACTTTCTACGCTTATAAGAGAACAATGAATAACAAATTAAAAATTATACTATGTCAAACACTGTAAAGAAAACTTGTAAGTCTACCAAATAACACTCAGGTTATGCTTTGACCGCAAATAGCATCCACGAGACGAGTGTGATGTAGAAACAAACCCTTTAAACATGCACGTTTTGGACCGAATCTAAGAGGTCGACAGAATGAAAAGAAGTGTGCTCTCGAGAACTGGTTGATTTTTCTACCTCCAACTTAAAAAGATTCAATACGGTTCTACTGGGATACCAGTATGTCACAATTAACATAAACAAGGTGAAAATAGTTGAACGCGTACAGCACATAGTACATATAATCAATGTTCCTTTTTTGGCCAATATTGACTGACAGGAATATGCTACCACTCGTAAGATTATAATATTGAAATATTACATTATTCCAGACCTCTTTACGTGTGTTTGTTCATATTTTGGGTTGTTTTCAACATCCTTTGTCCTGGATATATAGAACAGCTGACTGAAAGTAAGTAGAATCCATTCAAAGTTTTATCACTTTGATTTATTATTGATAACGTCCGTTTACAGTTAACATGGCGTCTGCCGCCTGCAGTCTTATGCATTTCCATTCTGGGGCCGGTTTCACAAAGCAGTAGTTAGTTAGCGATCGGTAGTTAGCCTCTCGCTAGTTATAGTGCCGTTTCACGAAGCAGTCGCTAGTTCTCTCGCTCGTTATTGTCTCGTTGTTGCCTTGGATATTTAACGACTGGTCAGACCAGTCGCTAACCCTAGAGTTTCATCGTACGCATGCGTAATGAGTGAAATAAAAAGGTTGCTTAGTTACCGTTGTCTGTCGTTTGTCTTTGTATCCAATATGGCGGCTACTTTTCTTGCTATCCGTACCGCCAGACGGCAACGTAGACTACGACGTTTTCATGAAAGGCAGAATCTATTAGAATATACACACGATGATGCAATTTACGAGAGGTTGCGCCTAGCTGTGACAAAAAGAGCGGCAAAAAGGTGGTGGAGATCCTTTACGACGACCTCAAAGCAGACGTTCTTATGCATTTCCAGCCACCAAAAATTGGAGAGTTACTGACTTTTACGCAAGAGTTCCACTTCCGGCAGACGGTTTCGAGACTACGGTGAGTAACGAGAGAACTAACGACCGAACTTTACGACTGAATTTAGCGATGAGTTAACTACTGCTTCGTGAAACACCCCTCGAAAATCGATAAGTTTGCTCGTTAGCGAGGTAGTTCAGTAGTTAGTTGTTCTAACTAACTACTGCTTTGTGAAACTGGCCCCTGATTCTCGTAGTGCTCAGCACCTATGTATTAGACCAAACATAAATGTCATATTCTCACATACACTGTGCATGTGTTGCTAGATTATTAATATAATTATTTTATAATAATACAATTAAATAAGATATCGTTGCTTCTTTTGGTTTAGGTGTACAATTTCTTATATGATGAAAGTATCATGAGTGAAACTCAATTTTCAGATAATTGTAAACACATATCAGAAAAAAGTGAAATGCAGAAATGTCATCAACATGATCTGGGGGGCCGTCTTGACAATTATTCTACAGACTGTAAGTTTGAAGATATTCACGGTAAATCTTCTATGCTTGGCTCACCTGGAATGACAAATGTGGATAAATACAATAACCAAGGTAAGTCAAAATAGCAATCATGTAAAATGACAATTAAATTAATGTTTTGAAATACTCGCCACTACTATCCAGGGAACGGGTTATTTTGAATGTCTTAAATTTCAATGTAAAGCAATTTTGATTTTACAAGTTGTCCAAAAAAGTAAGCTTTTCAGCTTTATAAACAATGTTTTTTGAGAAAAAAAAAAACTGGTAACAAATGCTAACACGTTTCACTGAAAACTATAATACTGTCAAACTACAAATGGTAGACACTGTACTTTGCGTAAGAATATTTTTCAATATAGATAATATTACAGTTTTTAATGTATAAAAACTAAGTTGGCACATTCTGCTTGATATTTCTTTTAATACCCCTGTCACACTTATTCGGATTCAGCAGGAATGAAGAAGAATAAGCCCGAACGAAGAATTTTTAAAATTCGAACCACTTTCGGGGGAAAATTTCAAATTGACCTAAATTATTGTAAGAGTACCGTTGGAATACCCAGAATGCACTTGAATTCGCCTGGAATGATGAGTGCATTTTCGACTGTATAACTCTCAAAAGCAGTTCGAATGTAGTTGGAAAACTAGGAATATTGATAACGCTGTAAGAAGGCAGTAAGAATATTTAGAATATACTTTGAAGGGCGCTCTAGTGTAGTTCGATTGCTGCCAAAATTAATATTTCAGCTCACCCGAGGCACATTCGAAACATTCTGGCGGAGTATAAAATCCCCGTCACACTAGAGGTGGTATGATTAAGAATGGCGTCGGAAATACAATTCTTTGTGCATTCCAGGATATTCGAATAGCATTCTAAAAATATTCAAAAATTCTGAGTGCATTCTAAATATTTTTACCCATTCTTGTGACCGGCTCGAATGTTTTTGTCATGCAAAAACTTTCGAAGTGCATTCCAAGAGGAAATTTATCGAATGGCATTTGAACAGTATTCTAACTGCACTATGACTGCATTCTAAATATTCTCACGGCATTCCGACAGCATTCAAAACATTATCATTAGTTAACATTCCTGTGGCGTTATTTATACACGCTGGGCATCGTGTTACATTCTAGNAACTTTACGACTGAATTTAGCGATGAGTTAACTACTGCTTCGTGAAACACCCCTCGAAAATCGATAAGTTTGCTCGTTAGCGAGGTAGTTCAGTAGTTAGTTGTTCTAACTAACTACTGCTTTGTGAAACTGGCCCCTGATTCTCGTAGTGCTCAGCACCTATGTATTAGACCAAACATAAATGTCATATTCTCACATACACTGTGCATGTGTTGCTAGATTATTAATATAATTATTTTATAATAATACAATTAAATAAGATATCGTTGCTTCTTTTGGTTTAGGTGTACAATTTCTTATATGATGAAAGTATCATGAGTGAAACTCAATTTTCAGATAATTGTAAACACATATCAGAAAAAAGTGAAATGCAGAAATGTCATCAACATGATCTGGGGGGCCGTCTTGACAATTATTCTACAGACTGTAAGTTTGAAGATATTCACGGTAAATCTTCTATGCTTGGCTCACCTGGAATGACAAATGTGGATAAATACAATAACCAAGGTAAGTCAAAATAGCAATCATGTAAAATGACAATTAAATTAATGTTTTGAAATACTCGCCACTACTATCCAGGGAACGGGTTATTTTGAATGTCTTAAATTTCAATGTAAAGCAATTTTGATTTTACAAGTTGTCCAAAAAAGTAAGCTTTTCAGCTTTATAAACAATGTTTTTTGAGAAAAAAAAAAACTGGTAACAAATGCTAACACGTTTCACTGAAAACTATAATACTGTCAAACTACAAATGGTAGACACTGTACTTTGCGTAAGAATATTTTTCAATATAGATAATATTACAGTTTTTAATGTATAAAAACTAAGTTGGCACATTCTGCTTGATATTTCTTTTAATACCCCTGTCACACTTATTCGGATTCAGCAGGAATGAAGAAGAATAAGCCCGAACGAAGAATTTTTAAAATTCGAACCACTTTCGGGGGAAAATTTCAAATTGACCTAAATTATTGTAAGAGTACCGTTGGAATACCCAGAATGCACTTGAATTCGCCTGGAATGATGAGTGCATTTTCGACTGTATAACTCTCAAAAGCAGTTCGAATGTAGTTGGAAAACTAGGAATATTGATAACGCTGTAAGAAGGCAGTAAGAATATTTAGAATATACTTTGAAGGGCGCTCTAGTGTAGTTCGATTGCTGCCAAAATTAATATTTCAGCTCACCCGAGGCACATTCGAAACATTCTGGCGGAGTATAAAATCCCCGTCACACTAGAGGTGGTATGATTAAGAATGGCGTCGGAAATACAATTCTTTGTGCATTCCAGGATATTCGAATAGCATTCTAAAAATATTCAAAAATTCTGAGTGCATTCTAAATATTTTTACCCATTCTTGTGACCGGCTCGAATGTTTTTGTCATGCAAAAACTTTCGAAGTGCATTCCAAGAGGAAATTTATCGAATGGCATTTGAACAGTATTCTAACTGCACTATGACTGCATTCTAAATATTCTCACGGCATTCCGACAGCATTCAAAACATTATCATTAGTTAACATTCCTGTGGCGTTATTTATACACGCTGGGCATCGTGTTACATTCTAGCTTGATTCCTGCTTAAGTCGCGTGCCAGTTCGAATATTCTTAGAATGTGATCAGAATGTTTTGAATGTTGTCGGAAAGCCGTGAGAATATTAAGAATGCAGTCACAGTGCTTTTGGAATACTATTCAAATGCCATTCTATTATTTTCCACTTGCAATGCACTTCGAAAGTTTTTAGCATTCAGTCCGACCACAAGAATGGGTAAAACTATTTGAAATGCACTCGGAATTTTTAGAATGCTCTTTGAATATCCAGGAATGCACAAAGAATTGTCTTTCCGACAAATGAATCCCACCTTTAATTTAACTTTTCTTTATTAAATGTTACTAAATCAATCTACATGTCTTTTCTTTAAACATTAAACATCTTGAAAAGTATCATACTCTGATGCATTTTACAAATCACAGGTAATGAAATACAAGTATATCTCATTTGCCACACCTGTAAGTATCATAATATGTGCCTTGATCTAAGACATCCCCTGCACGTGCCATATAAACAAACCAGCAGCTCGGCCAATTAACTTGGTCAATTAACTTGGTCATTTAACTTGCCCATTATGCTGTTAACAATGCAAAGAGGCCATAAAGAATGGGCCCAGCCAGGGCGTACTAAACATGGGGTCCGGCCTTTATATGCATGGGACTAGATTTGGTCTGGGCCTTTGACATATATATATATATATATATATATTACTGTAAAACCACGGCGCTTTAACTTAATGCGAGTAACTTGTGTTTGGACTAGAGTGAGTTCGTTGAGTATGGTGGTAATGGTATTGTGATATGAATGCAGAAAAATGTCAACATATTCTGAGGTAGTGTTTCCAATTGCATTGTTGTCGGATGGGAAGGAAACTGGATTTTTGCTTTCTTCAGATCTCTACGTGATGTTGTAGTTTTGATTGGAGGAGGGCGAGTAACATTCAGACAGTTTTCTATGGGACTGTGGCCTTAATTCCAATGATCTGTTGAGAAGTTGAAAAAAGTAGATTATCTGATGATTTCATGAAATCCCCGGCGATTATGAAATGGCCTGGTTTTGGGACGACCTTCTCTAGTAGGGTAGCAAAGTCCCTGAAGAAGTCCGAGATCGGGTTGTTTGGAGGACCATAGATGACAAAAAATTGTGCGTTTAACTTTTTAATGTAACAATGTCTAGAAATTATATTGGTTTTATGTTATGTTTTTCTTTCTTAACCATTTTGAGACGTGGATGGGCTAAAATAGCTACCCCGCCACATCTCTTTCCGACATTTTGGTCGAGCGCACATAAACGTTACTAAAATCATCTATAAACAATTGAAATTTCTTTCATTGAATATGAATTTTTTTTATTTTGCATTTTTCCATAATGTGACTCGGGTTGAAAGCAAATTAATTTTTAAAAGATTAAACAAAAATGCTGTCTCAGATTTGCGTTCAAAGATATCATGTAAGAGAGGGAAAACATAAAACTGCATATACTGCTGTACTCAGCTGAAAAACAACAGATGATTATAGAAAAAAAGGCAAAGCATGTTAAGGGTGTCTCGATTATGAAAATAAGATGTTTTAATATTTGAAAATATAAAATCTCAGCTATCTAAACTGATTTAATTCTCCATGCATATATTGCAATACTTCTGTCAATTCCTATCCATGTCTTTTACACTGCGTGGTTTGTTATTTGTTGCTTGTAAAAAAGGAAGATGATGCAGAGTTGTCCAATGTTACAGTTACGTACAATTGTTTTTACTGTCTTTAACAGTCTCCAATCACAGGGACACTCAGACCCCTACTTCACCAGGTCAAACCCCACTGCTTGTATTAGAGCCTGAGGCTGTATCAGATCAAGATGAAGAGTACACGTACGTACTGGAAAGTCAGAGCAATCCCTTTTCTGTTGTGTTTGCATATTGGTTTCTTTCTACCTCCTATATAGACATTATAAGTAAACTCAAGTCAAGTTTCTCTTATTACTATTGTTGTATACATTTTCTCATGCTCAACAATCACTCTGTTGTAGGGCTGAAAGCGTAAAAACAAAGAGTTCAAGCTCAAATTTAACACCTGGGGCAATTGCTGCATTGGCTGACACAGAGGGAAATGTCACGTTCACTCAGGGAAAGATACACACTCAACAATTCAGTCATAAAAGCATTGGTACATGTCAGGAAATCAAAACTGAATCCGTGGCCTGCACATCAATGATAACTTCAGCATTTGAAAGAACAGAAGCAAGGGCAGCTGGTACTACGCCACCGACCAAAAATGTTGATTCTCATATTACCTCTAACTTCACAAGATCATTGGAGACAATCATAATACCTGCACCTGGAGATGACGGTATTGTACTTAAACTTATTAATAGAATTGTCACTGTTTTAACATAATCATACAATACAAAAATAAAAAGTGGGGAATATTCCCAAATGTGGTATTATGCTATTCTTGATAAAGCTATTTAATGATGTTAATAACTATTGGGGGATAATTTTACTGGTAAATGCTATAGGTCAGTTGTTAAAAAAGGTAATTAATAATAGAAAAATAGAGGAATGAATGTGGAAAATCTAATGAAAAGTCTATTTTACAGTGTATCATCAGTTATTATATCACACTAATGATTGAAAAAGGTAGACACGAAAATATTCCACATGAAGATGGACAATGTGTTGTACGCGTGTTAATAGAAGAGACTGAAAATTATTTTAAAAGAGTGTGAATTTTACGGCATTTTAAGAGAAAAAATGCTTTCCAAAATGATTCAATAGTCAACCAAATATCGATATCGATATCGTTTATTATTAGATACACAGTACAGTCATAAATATTACTACCACTACTGATACATAATTAATACTTTGTTATCTGGGCGAAAGCCTTTATAATATATATATATATATATATATATAATATTTATAATTATATTTATAATGTTTCAGTTCCTAAGTACAGCAAAACCTTAGAATTGGCATCAAAATTAACTGTAGGACCAGAAAAGACTGAAACATGCATTGAAAATATTTACAGAGAAAATGTCGAGATATATGGTTGTAAAGCTCACGAATATCAAGTACATGGTACACGTTTCTCATCGGTAACATCTAGGAGAATCACAAATCCTGAAGATGGTAACAGAAGCAAACGGGTGAATGATACTGATAATGATATAGATCGATGCCGTGAACATGCAACCTCGAAAGGTATTATATCCGATCCATCCCAATTGTCCAGGAATGGAAACATAGTTGCAAGCACACAGAATCGTACAGATGGTGTCTTAGAAACTGATTGTGGGGTAATCCCAATACCCGATGAGAGTAACAGAACAATGCTAAATAACAAAAGAGAAACCAATTTTGGATATTTCGGCGAAAGTAAGCCCGCATGCACATCTGAAAATAGTGAGGGGAACGTACCAGAGGATGTCAACGATAATGTTATTTCAGCTGAAGGCGACACTACACTTTTAAGTGACACAGTTACCTTAGATGAACCGAGTACAGAAGAATGGCACAGAGCCAACGAAGAAAACATAACAGCAAATCATTCTTCTGAGAACACTGAAGGATCCTTAGGTGTCGAAGAAAGTCAAACTGTCCCTTTAGTAGATATTAAGCCTCAAATGAGGGTTAATACCCAGCATCCGCAATTTCAAGAAAAAGTGGTGGGTTTCTTCAACGACCGTGCAAAGTTAACTTCGAGAGAAAATGGACCCCTTGACAAAAATGTCCCCGATAGATTAAGATGCCGTTCAAGTTTTCGCCCAGAATCCTCACGTGCTGTTGTTTTTCCAGTTAACCGTGGTGAATTTCATATTGAAGCTGTCAGATTATCGACCTTTCGAGATATGCCCATTTCGGTCCCTGTGCCTGCTACGCGCCTTGCACGCGCTGGATTCTACTATTCTGGAGACGGTGATGAAGTCGTTTGCTTTAGATGTGACGGGCGACTGAGGGAGTGGGCTCGTGGGGATGACCCTGCTGTGCGACATCGTAATTTCTACCCAGATTGTCCACTGATGAGAGGGACTGACAAAGAAAATGATCCAATTCTTCCAACAAATGATGCTGTTTTCAATTGCAATTTAGATCCGTTCCCAAACTTAGCAAACGCCACGTCTACACCGCTTGACCATGATAGCAATGCGTCCTCACTACTGTCAAGTCAACATGCACTATCCAGGTCACCTGGCATCAGTTCACCAGAGGTGGCCTCCCCGCAGACCACGCCGCTGGAAAGTAGCACAGCGGCTCATTCTGGGGTTGCCAGTGGTGTATGCTCTAACGAGGACACATCTGCTCTGCCAAATACATCTCATCTGCCGACACGCACCCCTTCAGGGATGAGGAACGAGTCTGACCGCCTGGCGACTTTTGTCAACTGGCCAAGTGGAGCAAGTGTCCGACCCAGAGACTTGACAAGAGCTGGCTTCTTCTATGTGGGCACGGAGGACCGGGTACAGTGTGCCTTCTGTGAGGGGGTTTTAAGGAACTGGGAACCAAGTATGAGTGCTTTTTATTGTGAATAACGTAAAGCAATCGCTGCCTTTTGTTTACAAATGGTTGAAACAAGACAGTGGTGACTAAGATAATTGTAGAATGTGATTGTTTCAAATTTTACCAAAGCGTTCTTTGAAACTTTTAAAAGTAGTGCAATATTTTCTTGGCGGACTAGATTTTAACATTGGTTTGTAAGTTAAATGCTGGTTTTAGCAAGGCATTTGGGACTGTCGGTCGTAAAACGCGTCAGAATGATGACATGGATCGCGGACTGTCAGGCATTAATATTTGTTTTAGGTGACCAACCAATGCAGGAACACCGCAGGTATCTTTCAACCTGCCCGTTCGTCCTAGGACTGGAAGTTGGGAACATTCCTCTAGAAGAACCAAGCACAGCTCTTCCACTTGCTGTGTCAGAATCACAAAGACAAGCTGTGGGAGGCAGCACAACAGGATCAGAGAGTAAGTCTGACTCAATAACAATTCTATTCTTGGCAAACTGTTCCACACAAACAAAATGTAAAAGCCCTAGTAAAACATATTCATGCGGTATACTGTAATTTATATTGACCCATTAAGACGATACCCTTAAGCTGATAACAAGTCATCTTAAATCTGAAATCCCCAGGTGAGAATTTTTTATACTTTGAGCACATTGCTGGAAAGCATGATTAAATCAGCTATTTTATTTTTAAAAAAATTGATATCTGAAAATTGCACCCTGAATAAAAAGTTTCCAAACGAAAAATGAGTTTCTAGATAGAGTGCGAGTGCCGAGCTCAACGCCAAATGATTAAAACATGAACTCTGCATTACAGCAAGGTGCCGTCAACAGGGTGAACATCAACAGGCCTTGCCATGCTCTGTTACGAGTATCCTTGCATTCGTGCGTTTCTCACTCGGGATACAGCATAGACTGGCCCACTGATTCTGCTCGAATATTTGTTCACAGTGCAGTACATCTAGAATTCATGTTAGTGGAATGACGTAAACCACAGATACCGAATGCTGTTAAACTGTCTTTACTTATCTAGTCGATCCCCTTTCTTTGTTTTCACCCCATAGACACCACAAATGGAGCCACGCTAGGGATACTAACAGCGAGACCCAGACACGAGAGATACGCCATTGAAAGCACCAGAGTTCAGACATTTGCTAACTGGCCGCCATCTCGTATTCCTCGTCCTGGCGAACTCGCCAGGGCCGGATTTTTTTACGCCGGTTAGTCCAATTATTATTGAGTGAAATATATATACATTAATTGGTAATTACTTTATATAAGCTCATATATCCTTTGATTTTGCCAAATTTAAAGGAAACGAGACCCCCCTCAATGTAATAAATATGCCATAAGTTATAATGCCATTATTTAAAGCACACCAGCATCCCTTTTGTTATAGCAATATAACAATATGTGCGGTATGTAAGGATGAATGCGAATCCCAACGGTCGCTCCACAGCTCTCACGATCTGTTTAACCAGAAAGGCGTTAATTATAAACTTATCCCTTATGAATAATATTGGACAAGTGGCCTTATAATTTTGGTCAGAAGAGTAACAGGGTCCATTCAGTTTATGGTTGCAACGTAATGATTTTTGTTCTATATTTGTTGAAAACAGGCTTTGGTGACAACGTGAAGTGCTTCTTCTGTGACGGAGGGTTGAGGAATTGGGAACCACAAGACGACCCTTGGACTGAGCATGCGCGTTGGTTCCCACGTTGTGGTTTTGTTCGCCAGTGCAAGGGGGATGCGTTTATTCATATGATAAAGGAACAGACTTCGTCAAACAACCCAGTAAGCGTACATTCAACCACATCATTTCATGTTATAAGGATATAAACTATAGCTTTTTAGGCTAGATTACATTCACATAATTGCTGTTACTTGGAGCATTAGGCCATGTTTGATTTTCATTTTAATAACGCGGATGCCGTCATTCAAGATGCATTCCATGACTGGCATTAAAAGCACGCCCTACTAATTGAACGCAACTGCCATAAACATAAGTTATACATTTTGTATTGTTTTATATATTTATTTGATATTGGTTTGTTCAATTTAGCCTCCCCATGCGCAAACGCAAACACAAAGACCACAAGGTTAGTCATCATTTACCCGGTGCATATGCCTGGTTAGATTTCTTAAGTTTTGAAGCAGCACTCAACTTCATAGATAGACAGCAACAATGCCAATAACCCATACAATTAAACCGATGCAGATATTTCAGTTATATTCTATTGATCTATATTTAATGAGCAAAATTCGTAAATATGTTTGATGTATCCTTATGAATAAGACATTACTGTTCTTATTTGTGATTGGATCCAATCAAACATTCAGCAACTTAGAGCAAAACACCACTCTATGTTTGTAAATGAATTGCTGTGCAGGTTTTTTGTCTCATCACGTGAAGAACCTTGTTTACATGCAGGTGTGCCAGGCAGTTACCATGTAGAGGCGAGGGAGATCAAAGCCCGCCTGGACACCCCGACAGTACAGGCGGTCTTGGATATGGGTTTCAGTCGAGATACAGTGCGTCAAGCGATCGAACAAAGGTTGCGGAATGCAGGAGACGATTTTCCCAGTGCAGCAAGTTTACTAGATGCAGTTTTAAATATTGAGGATGAAATGAACCGGCAGATGACGCAAGGTGCTGCGGCAATGGCAGTAATGCCCCAAGAAGAGCCTGGCCAGCAGTCACTAAACGCAGCTCTGTCTGAAGCACCACCACGTGAAACAGCCCAGAAAACATCACAAACACAGAATACGGGTACTTGTTTGAGTTTTAACTTTATTAAAATAACACTATGTTTAAACTGTGTTTAAACTATATAATTAAAAAAAAGATAATATATTTCTCTACATAGATTAAATATTTGTGCTGATTTCATTGCTTAGGTGTCTTCATCAACGCCTATAGTTTTTACTTATAAAATATAATTCAATGATTTTCTTCAACACGCATATTGTTCTTCCGAACGTCAACATTGTGACTTCCACATGCAGAATCGTTCAGTCCGAATATCAATTCTTTTATTTTATTTTATTTCAGAGAAACAATCTAAAAAGGACAAGAAAAAGAAAAAGAAGAAACAAGACGTTCCGGTACCAAAAGATAGTGATGACAGGGGTGAGCACTTAAGGTCTAGGGTTGATGTGTTTGATAATATACATGTTAGTCATAAGTACCTGCTCCTTTTAACATCCAACACGACCTTGGTAAGCAAGGGTACTGAGCACGTGGTTCTCTTGATCAAGGCCGTGCCCGTCAAGGTCATTTAACTAGGTGGTAAAGTCATTGTACGTATCACATGTTTACCGAGCAATAAGGAAAGACACAGTGAGTTAGAAAGATACAGGATGCATGGCCTTACTGTTCTACTGACAGCACTGAATAAACTCCATACCTCAAGATAGCCGCTTAGGCGCATGAAAGCTATTTGCTAATGTTGCTTATTTGCATAATATTACTTAACGTTGATGGTAACATATAACATCATCTCTATTAAAGGTTCAATACACAATGAAGTTCATTACAAATAGGGTTGCACCAATTTAATTCCAGAGACCAAGTCCTTGCTTGAGGAGAACCAGAGACTGAAGGAAGAGCGCACCTGTAAGATATGTATGGATGAAGAAGTTAGCGTGGTATTTCTGCCGTGCGGCCATCTTGTCGCATGTGTCCAGTGCGCACCTGCTTTGAGGAATTGTGCCATTTGCCGAGCAGCCATCAAGGGCACGGTTAGGTCGATATTAAGCTAAAGAAGATCGTAGATAGCGTCCTTGGGACGGTTAGGTGGGGAAAAAGCAAAGCACAATTGGAATAACACTTAAAATTGCTGTTAATCTTGAAATAGCGATGTCTGGATATATTTCAAATCTAATGAAAATTTAAGAGTCCAACATGGCAAAGTGTCCATTCCATGAATCCACCAACCGAAGTACAGAATTGCAGTAGGCTATACTGCATTTCTACTGCAAATATGCTCCACACCACTACTGCGTTAATGATTCTTTGCTACTTCGATACTCCTGCATTTTCGTGCGGGATGGCCGTAGGAGTTTTGAGACTGCTGCATCAATTTGATGGTCCAGATTTATTAATGCAACAAATTTGTCTTTGAACGCCTCTTATTTCTAAGCAAAAGTATTCATTAGCTTGTTATTTGGATTTTCAAACACAAGCCGCAATATTTTCCTAAGTTTCCAACGATCTTGAAATCGGCCGTCTGGAGTTTTTTTATGAACCATCAATTGCGACCAGTGAGCAATTTTGCACGATTTTGATTTCGTGAATTTCGTACAACTTAACAATCGGCCATCAGGCCGTTTTCGGGCTCATAAAAATCTGACAGGCGGCAATGTTGCCTTTTATGTTGTACCTTTACCTGAGTACTACGTGTGCGACCCAAGGTGCAAGATAACGATCGGTACAGTTGACTTAGCACGCGGAACAATATCGTCATTTCCATTCCTTAAGATAACAGGGGAATAAATTAAGAGCAACCGCTAGTTTTGCTGAGGCGCACAATAGCATCGTAGGGTTTTCAATAACAGAAAAACAGAAGCAATGAAGGTCTGCAATAAATATTGCCGTTATTGCTTCGTTGTTTCACTCGGATCGTTCACGATCGCACTATCATCCACTAATGAACCCCATTGCACAAATATGAAAACTGCCTTCTCGTCTCGATCGGATCGCTTATGACCATATGGTTATTGCTTCATCGTCTCGCTCGGATCGCTGTTGAACTCCCGTTGACGATCTTCCTCTAACAAAGTCCTTTGAACAAATATGGAAATTGCCCACGTGTCTCGCTCAGATCGCTATCTATCTCCCGCTGACGATTTGAAAATTGCCTTCTAGGTTGGCTTGGCTCGCTGACGTTCTCCTGCTAACGAATCCAGTAACGCAGTCCCTTGAACTAGTATAAAAATTGCCCTATCGTCGCGCTCAGATCGCTCACGTTTTCCCACTGGCGATCTTCCAGTCCCTTGAAAGAAAATGAAAATTCCCTTCCCGTCTCCCTCGGATCGCTAACGAATAAAATAATTGCTTTTTCTGGTACGTCCAGATTACATATAACTCGCATGTTTGTTTGAGGATGGTTTTAAATAACAAAACGTACTCATTTTCCAATAGTGTGTATCGGCGCATCTACGTGCCCGGAAATCAATTGCGTTGTCGGACCGCTGCTGGTCAAGATTGGGTTGCCTGAACGAAAAAAAACTGGTTGCAAAACGCAACCATGCAACCGTTGATATCGAGCCCAGCACCCAAAGACATAAACTGCTCCCCCTGCCCTAGTAGATTTGTTCGTAGAAAATAAGCAGCGGTCACCTCGGTCGCAGCGCACGGCCGTAATACACAGATCGGCTTTCGTGGTGAAAGCTACCGTACATACCGATCTGCGGTCGTAGTGGTCTCACTGCAAGGCGAAAAGAGACCGAAATGCTTAGCCCGACTTCTACAGTGAAGGCTACGTATGCGTCGTAGACACTGCCTGGCGCACGGCGAGGAGAGGCTCTCGCGTACAGCTGTTGTTGAAAATGGGAAAACAAAAGAAACTCATTTCAGTACAGTTATCTCTTGTTTTCATTTTGGCGTTTTTAAGGTGTAACTATGAAGTTCCATAGGCCTGAACTTAGCCTAATACGGCGAGGAGAGACTTGCGCGTAAATCTCCGTCCGACTTTAGTGGTGAAGGCAACCAGCCAGGGCCACATATCTCGAAAGCTTCGCTATGTTGCGCACGGGCGCGAGCATGGCGATTCCGCGCTATCTGCGAGTGCGATTGCACCCACGCTATCTCGAAGCCTTAGCAAACGCAACGCAATTATAACCTCAAACTCTACTAATATCGATTGCCGCATAAAGTGAAGACATCAGAACACAATTACACAAAATGTAATTTATGAGTGCATGAATTGAGAGGAGTCGCCGAGGCTAGTTTCAAATGTACCCTATCTCTACTAAACATGCACCGTGAATCTTTCCAGAAACCCCTGTGATGCCAAAAATATATGTTGGGGCGACTTTGTGCATATGCTTTGAGATGTAAATTTGTTTTAACTACCTTTTCATTGTAAGACCCTGTATCTACATAACGTGGCAGCAGTTGTCCAATGATGACTAACTTAACGCTTGGGACACTGATCAATTCCTCAGCAAATTTCAATACCTCCTGTGCAGTTCCTAAGGGATCTGCATATTTCTTAGCCAAATCGTTGCCTCCTACTTGAAGGTATACTACATCTGGGTTATAGCTAGCTAACATATGCATTTCATTTCTAAGAGACTTAGGGCCCTTACTAATTACACCTCCCCCTGTGCCATGACAGACAACTTGTACACTACATGTAGTTCCATCAAAACCCAGATTAAAATAGTCTTCTTGCAGATTTTCTACAGTTTGCCCTAACCTACGAATGTATGAGTGACCCAGTGTTAAAACCTTGTGAACCATTCTGAATAATGCGAGACAAGTCAAGTTCTGTGTAAACTGAATGCAAAATTCACTAAATACTGCAATAGCTTAAACTTTGAGCTTATATACTCAAACAGGTTCTAAAATTTAGGTACTCACCCTTGTTGTGAATTTGATTAACTGGTGATCGCCTCTTTATGGTACACTTGCGTTTTGCTTGATATTCCTTGTGGTACTGATAAACTTTGAGAAACTTTATGAAATTCACTAAAAACTCTTCTCTCCTGAGCATGTACTGAAGCTGAACTCCTTATGATTCTGATTGGCTGATCATAATGAGACTAGGTTGAACTGTCCAATCAGGTTTTGACCAGTGTCACTTGGTAGTAATTAACTTAACAGCGAGAAATACAAAGCGGAGAAATCCTGTCTGTAATTAGGGAATAAACATCTGGAACTTATCTTTCTATCACCCTATCTTAGTCCCTGGGAGTTTTCCCTGGGCATCTTACATCACATTAATACCCTCATCACACATAAATCCCTTTATTGTAACCAATAAATTATATTTTTTTCACCATGACGCTAATCAAGACGTTTTTATTTATAGGAATATCATATTTAAAAAAATGATATTCGAAGTGTTTGACACCAATAAAATGTCAAAAAACAATTCAATAAGCGAAGCTTGGACTGACACAATTACTGACGCATTGGCGAGTAGTGTCCAGTCTCTCAATAATAGATTTTGAGGAAGGCCACGGTGCGACCGAATGCCTTGTTTCTGCATTTTCATTTTGTGTAGAAAATGGCACTTTTAAATTTATGTTTATTATCAGTAGACTACACAGATAAATTATATTCATCAGAACATAGAAAATGATGTATGAAACGTTTAATTTTGAAATGTTTATGCATCATAAAACATGACTTTAGCGCAAGTTTTTCTATCAGAGGTACCAAGTGATTCAATATATTATAAACTTCCATGTTTTTGTTATAGCTTTTGTTATATGCTTTATGACTAGCAACCCAAACTTGCTTCCTTGTTTAATTACACGAAAGACACATTAAAATGACGAATTATGCATACGCAGAAGCCTTTGTGACTAGTTTGTATCGCCGCAAATAATAGTCTTGAAACTAAAGACGTTTCGCCATTAGCGCACGGCCGCGATTTGCGAAGCTTTCGAGATATGGGATAGCACACGCTCGCCATGCTTGCGCACGCTCGCCATAGGCAAAGCTTTCGAGATACGGGTCCCTGGTCGCAGTGGACGCTTATCGCCGATGAAGTCTATCTTTGGGCCATAGACATCGATCGGCTGTCGTCTCGACTTTATCGCACGGAAAGGAGCAGTGGTAACATTAAGCCAGGCTTCCACGGTGAAAATTATCTCGATGGGGTAGACGCTAATCGCCGACCGTGTCTTCTTCCGTCTGGATCGTTTGGAAAAACGACGCTGGTTTCTGGCTACCAGAATCGCTTTTGAAATACGACACTAGTGATTATGATGCTGTATTGCGTCCCTAGCTAACAGAAGTGATCGTTATCTAGCACTCTGGGCCATACACAGTGATTGGGTGAAAGTACGTTTGTCCCTGCATGGTGTCGCAATTACCGACACTCACCTTTTACACAACATGGTAACTGACACAGAGATCGTCGGGAAGCGATAACATAGGACCTAACGACTAACAGACAACTTCTGGTAAAAAATGACTGAAGTTCATAAAACTCGAACATCTGTAATTTCTGAGCACTTCCCATTTCATGAATTTTGGCAAAAACAATATTTTCCTTATTTTAATTAATTTCTTCTGTATGAAATTCATGGCACATTTCTATTTTAGGCACTGCTGCCATACTGATGATCTAAGGAAAACCAAACATACTATGCCTTAACTCACAAAAATGGGACTAAAATACAACTTCTGTTTGAAAACAAGTCTAATTGGTTTATTTTTCAAAGGCGTGACTTAGCGCTCCCATGGGCTTAAAGACCTTTGCTAGTCACATTTTTTTTAAATATCCAGATACTTATATTATATTATTAAAATTGGTGGTGAATACGCTGTTAAGCATTATGTAGCATTGCATCAAAATTGAAGAAACCGTATTCTGGGAATTGCCGCCATAATGATCATTTATGGAGAGCGATGTTACTTATGATGCTCTAACTTACTGAAAAGATCTATTGGACTGAAGTACGCCTTAGACTGAAGTGTAGCTTGAGTTGGAAAACCAGTGTGACATTGCATTCTTTTTTTTTTTCTGGAAGTTTTGCAGTTCTTTGTGTTTTTTTCCACATGTTGTCACTTTCACTGTGAAACTTACAACTCCCATGTACCTAAACCGAGTAGCATTTAAATTTAATTTAAATTTAAATTATTTAAACTTGAAATAAAATGGTATTTTAATATACCACATTTAATACCATTTATTCACATTTATAACATGTAACCCCTCAAATCTGACATTTCACTGTGATTTTCACAGAGGTAAAATGCCGTTGATCCAATATCTAAAGTAAACAAATATCAATATTTAAAAATATTGATATCTCCTCCGCTAGTTTGAATTATCTGGACAACTAGTAATGTTAGTTATGGCATCTGAAATGTAAATCACCTGTGATGTAATCATTTGTAAATGGAGGAATATGATATTGCAGGTGGGACAACCTTTTTGGCCAATGCTAATTATATATAATAAAATATAAATACATAAAGTTTCACGGACATACCCACAGAGTATGCCCGATCAC